GAGAATTTCCTAAGCATTTAAGAACAGAAGTGGCATTTGAATTAAATCTTCGCAGGACAAGCTAATAAGGAAACCTGGTACCTTGACAACCGTAGCAGGAGAGATGACAAATGGAGCCAGTGGGTCCACAGCTTCTAACTTCATGCCTTCAGAGAATGAATGTACGCCAATCACAGGCTTGTCCTGAAGGATCAAGCATCAGACTGCTAATTACCCACCTTTCTCCATCAGGAAAGTCCTACCTCAAACACTTCAGTTAGAGAGGGCAAGTTGAGCTTTTATTAGTTCATTCTAAGGAATCAACGTGTCAGACTACACGCAGTGGCCATATAAGGAAGAGAAAAGGCCAACTATGCTCTCCGAGGCTGACAATTTTCTAAAGTTCATAGAAAACCGAGTCCCAAAGATTTCGTCCTCTTGTGTTCTCCAGAAGGAAGCACGATTTCACAAGCTGGTCTAATGAGCTAAATTAAAAGAGAACTGTAAACATTAAAAGTGCTCATTCACAGCCTAACATAAAAACCTGCAAAAAAGGGTTCCTGTTCTGGAATTGTGAACATCCTGCTCTACATCTGATCCTTTACCCATACATTCAAGATCAACAGCAACGCCTCTTCTGTTCTCCTCATTGGCCAACATTAAACAGAGAAAGCCAAACTAAGGACCTGCAGGGAATAAATTTACCTTCCTATTTCTCTCAAAATACGCTGAGTGTCAAGAATTTTATTTCAATTCATATAAATTTAAATTCAAACTCATTAGCGACATCTGCTTGCACTTAGAATATAACAGGACATAAGTACACATATTATACAGCATATGTTGCTGTATCAGGTTACACATTAGGTGATACACCTGCTAAACCTTTTGATTTACTTAAAAAATTAGAAAGAATGCAGTAACATTGCACTCCTCCAGAAAGACAGTCATCAGCAAGACCAGCTAGTAAACAACTAGATGCCACTATAAAGGATCAGAACAAGGGATTTTTCCCAGTGTAATAAGTAACGGCTCACATAGTTGTGAAGGGTGTACTGTCTAACTTAGCAAGAACTGCATGGTAATATGATTTTCTTTTCTTTTTTTTTTTTTTTAACTAAAGGGAGAAAGGAAACAAAATTAAAAAATAAAAGCATTAAGCTATATACACTGGGTGTTTACCTTGAAGAGATCAGTAGGAACCGATGACTCCTCTTCCTCCTCTTTCACTTTCTTCAGGATCTCTTGCCAATCTGCTTCACTCTTCAAGGACCTAATGGCTTGAGAAAAAAACCAAGGAAAACAGTGAGTGAAGCCACCTCTTCTCTCTCCCTCTCTCAGAAAGCAAAGCAGTAGAGCCAGAAGTTTGATATGTGCTCCTTTAAGTGCTAAATTTGTATCTGTTCAGAACCTGCGCAATTATATTTCTTCTTAAAAACATACTGCTTTGTTAGGTGTTTGGATATCTTATAAAGAAGGGACTAAAGTCAAGCTACATTGTATGATCTGTACACTGCGAGGTCTAATTTTTCTTAGAAAATGGCGGTCACATCAGCACTGAGGAAAACTTACGGAGAAATGCATGACCAGGAAACCACGTGCAGCTGGGCAATGTTAGTTCGTCTTAGGCTTAAGCAAGCAGAAAGCTAAAGAAACGTCCCAGAATTCTGTGCCAGCTGTATAAGTTTTTCTTTTAGTGTCTGTAACTGCACGTCACACATCTCTCTGATAGACTAGGAACTACTTTTACTAGTAATACATGCAAAGGCTCCCTGAAGTCAAGCCTGTGAGGGCAGCAAAGCTCCTTACGTAGGCATAAAAAGAAAACCAGTCTAAAAACTAAATTAACATCACGACCTAGTGTTTTCTAAAAAGGCATTAGTCACCTAAATAGCGCTTTGAATTCCATCCATCTAGTTTCTGTCCGTGAATAGGTACAAGCCAAATCACAATTCTGATTTCAGCAGAGATTGGCCAAGCACTAGGCAAAGGCAGTACTCCTAGTGATTTCAATCAAAATTGTTTAGCTTTCATGAATATGATTTCTTCTTAGCATAAAGGGAAAACACGCAAAAAATCCTCGACAAAAACAACTGCTCTAGAAGACTTGATTTCCCACAACTAATAGCATAGAGCATGCCAGAACCGTAGATGTGTATCTACATTTGAAGAAAGGTTTTATAAGGTAACTCCCCCCCTCCCACTCCCGCCCCAACAATTTCCAGTTTTAAGCAAGGTTTATTGCTTTGTGAGTCACCAATGATAGAAAGGGCTCTTGTGATAGCAGGAGGGTAATTTCCTGCACAGGAGACAGATAAACGTTCAAATACGTTTGATTAGTCCTTCCTAGAAATAGATAAAGGAAGCAAAAGCCCAGAGCCCAGAATAATTGCTATGAAGCACACAGTTCTGGAACAATTATGGCTACACAGAAGAGGCAGACACTCAGCCACAAGTCAGCCCGAGACCTTGCTTCAGTCTGGTGAAGAGCTTCGTGAAAGAGCCTGCCCTTTCAGTATCAGTCACCTGCACGTTTGTATCTGGAGTTGGTACACACAGTTTACTAAGTCCCCTGTCAGGAGATGTATTACGTCAAGCACTTACACTGCTCAGCTTATGAGCAACCCACTTGTTTCAGTCATTTTACACCCCACTACTTGGATGACCAGAAACATCCACCCCTGACAACGGAAAACCGTCACCTGTCCTTTTTAAGGACATATTTAAATGCATACGATACCTCTTTAGAGAGAGCCTTCAGTGGCCTAGTGGACTTGGAGTCCCTACTGGGAAAGCTCCTACCGAGAGCTCCTATCCTTCAACATGGAAAAGTTGTTTACTTTGCCCCCGACTACCTTCAACAGGTTGCTTTCTCCCCATAGGGATACAAACTTATCAAAAAACAACAGTGGAAGCAAGCCTTTCCTCTGTATACACTACTACTTTGCACAAACAGGTGGAAGGTTTTGACTCGGAAAAGCAGTTAGCAACATTTGAACACGTGGGTTAAAAGTCCTGCAGTACTATTTACTGATGTTTTCATTAATATTTCACTTAGATACGATATTTGTCAGATCAAAAAACTGATTATATGGCAAATTTACCCATCCGGAATACAGACTTAGGGCACCAAAGCAACAGCAGCATTCTCAAGCCTGTGAAGATAACCATATAACAAAGATATACGCTTTGAAGTACCTAAAGGTGGTTGCAGCTCATATCCCTGTTGAGTTGCCCACCCCACTTGATGAAGGAAAGGGTCCAAGTAGAACATCCATTGGTCAAACTTGTCAGAATCCTCCAAACCTTCGTATCGCAACTTAAGTCTCCCTCCCACGTTTTCTACCACGTTGACGATCCAGGCTTCCAAGGAATCCTGGAAGTTTTGCAGCTCTAGTCTGGAGCCCGGTGCAATGAGATCCAAAGGATTTTTCCCTCTGTGAAGCTACAAGAAGAGAACAAAAAGAACATAAAGCAAAGTTCTCTGTACAAAAGAGCAAAATAAATTCTGTAGTTCCATTTCTGTTCTGTCCTTTATACACGTTCTTTCTGAATAACTAAAGTATCAACACAGCAGTACAGAAATACAGCCCTCTTACTAAGGGCAACAGAATTTACAATGTTTAGGGTCTCTGCTACTTGCAGCAGAGCTTTTGTGCTGCCTGCAGATACACAGTCACACATTTCATATTAAATCCCATTCATCATATTCAGAAACATTATCCCTTACATATTCAAAGTTCAAAGGAAACGAGGATAAAACATTTTAAAACTGACTCCTCTAGCTTGTAAAGAGGATGAGACAGATAGGATACAACAGTAAAAACATTAGCTGCAAAAAAGATTTCAATGATGTTTTCCAAAAAATTGTGTTCTGTACTTTAAAAGTACTGTTTTAAAGCGCAGAGAAGGGGATAGCAATTTAGTTCTTTATTAGCAAAGACGCACAATTTAAGTGAAATAGTAATCTGTCCATTAGCAAAAACAAAAGATTGGTGAAAGGAGTCAACTGAGAAAGGGGACGATACAAAGGTCAGATAAATAAAGGACTATTTCCCTAGAGCTGTGTGAAGGGGAAGCAGCCTCGAAGGTAGACTGAAACCAAAGGCTGTTTGAGAAAGGTCTTTCTTCCGATAGGACTAACGAATAAACAGCCAGCCCAAACCTGTAGCGACAGATATGTTCCAGCATGACACTATGAGAATTCAATGCTGTCAATAGGAAACATTAGACAATGGAAATACATTTTTCTTAAATTCAGCAGCATACTACAATGCCACCTAAATTTATGAAAGGAGTTGAACTGGCAGTCTGAATACTGGTACTGATTACAAGTAGTCACTCAACAGCATCTTCACTGACAAAGACAAGACACGCCATGATTTCAAGCCAGCCCATTCGAACACTTACCCCCTCCAGCAAGTTAGCGGGAGCACTGCATGCTCCTTTCAGCACCCGCTGAAGGAACTCCTCCTGGTCAGGTATCTTGTCCTTGATACCTAAGTGAAAAGAGAGGAAGACAGACTGACATTCTTCTTGCCTGCTAAAGATGATTCGGGCAATGAGACATTACCATGTTCTTGTGGGGTTTAATTCAGAAGAATCTGCAATACACCCATCGGTAACACCTTAAAAGGAGGAACAAAATAAAAGCAAAAACCCTTTAAAGGAAATGACAAAGCTGCAGAATTTGGTGGACGACAATTACAGAAACAATAAGTCTAGGTGTGAAAGTAATCCCAGTTTTGAAACTAGGGTAACAGCTCTGTGGTGGAAGAACAATCTACTACTGTAAGTCAGTCACAGGATTTCAGGCAAACACAGCAGATAACCTCAACTTGTCAGAAAAAACACCACCTGCTCCAGACAGTAGCAATTTGGAAGGCTGCTTGCCAGGCTTACAAAGGACAAAAGCATACTTTAAGAAAGCGGGCAGTCCCTCTTCTGCATACGGAGCCATTACCTTCAGGCACTTTGAGAATCTTCTTGTTCTGTTCGCACCAGCCAATGGGGTGTAAATCAGCTGTCATGATATCACACCAAAAGTCAGCCTTGCGGTCCTCCCCATACCCGTCATAGCGCAATAGGAGCAACTGCCCGCAGGTAGTAATGATGGTGGCTACCCAATAGGTGTTTTGGTCAGACTTGACAGCAACTTCCAGCTTCATACCAGGGGCAAAACCATTCTGCAAACTTGTATCCACCTGAAGAGAGAGAAGATTGCCATATTCGATTAGCTCACAGAAGCTTTCTGGAACAACATGAGAACAATTTAGTCATGTTCAATAGCAAAAACCTCAAGCAGAATACCATCCAGCCGCCTCAGAGAGGCAGCTTTGTCATGTTACGTGCCCCAAATTAGACTGCACAGAGAGTCATCATTAATGAAACCTCCTCCTCATTTCAGAGTGCCTTCTTAACCTTAAATTAATAAACGCATCTTCCTGCCCTGGGAAATACCTCATGCATTATAGAAAGGCTTTCCAACTCACAGCTGGGCTGTCAAGCTAGATAAAACCAAAGGTTAAACTCAGCAATACAACCTTGATGTTTGGTGTTAAACAACAATATTCCTTTTAACCTTTTCGGATGCACCCCCCCACACACACAACCCTAAGAGAATCCTATTAGCAAGAAAATCATACGCCTCTGTTTTTAACTGTTAACACCTTTAAGTATCATATTCTCCGCTTGCAGAATCCTCTACTTGGAAATAAAACCATCAGGACCCAATACCTGCAGATCTCTTTGAAGTGACATTACAGAATGATCTCTTTAAAAAGATATTGCCTTTTTGAAAAGATGTTACAAAACACTCCGTGTTCTAACTCCCGAGAGAAAAGCCACCAGCTCCACACAGAGTCTGAGGAATCAGAAGCTCTGCACAGCTCTCTACAGCCACGCTTTGTGCAAAGCCTTGCGGCCACGTTCTGCACAGAGAGACATATTCAAGCAAAACAAACAGTGACGGATGGAGCTTGCCCTGAAGTCAGGTGCATTTCTCAAAGCCGATCGTTCATGTTTCCCTGGTGGATACGCTAGAGACCAAGAAGTTGGCACCCTCTTCTGGTAGCTGGGCAAGATGACACCACCGCGTGGTTTAATGCACAGAACTTTGTTTCTTTGGACTCGATCGCTGAGAAGACAAGTTGGCAGGAGTCTTGGGAAGAGCTCTGGGAATATTTTCTGCAGAGCCGTGGATCTGAGAACGCTACCTTCCCCCTGCACATACGGCAAGCTGAGATGGCCGCTCAGCATGTAGCGACAGCGCCAAACCCTGGCCAATCCTTCCCGTCACCTATTATCCCCCTCCTTTTTGCAGCCATGTCAAAAGTCGAACTAGGGTGCCCGAACTGGCTCACAAAGTCACTTTTCAGCTTGTTTACAGAAATGATTTCTCCCAGAGCTGTACTAGCGCAGCGGAGAAGACCACACGGAAATGAGTGTTAACACCTAAGACACTGCTGTCATAAAAAAGAATAACAATAATTAAATTTAAAAAAAAAAATCGCTCAAATAACGTTTCAAGCTAGGAAAAAAGGACAAAATGCATTAAGACCATGCAAGTACATATAGCAAATGCATGAAGTGACACTAACATACATACACATATATGTAAAATATATAAATAAAATAAAGTCGCACAAAGGAATTAAAAAAGAACATTAAACAATTCTAAAGAAAATGTATTTAGACATGGTGTGAGATGACAACACTGGCACCCAGCGCCACTCTCGCTATTTGATAAGGTCTTTTTCCTGCTAGATTGTATACAAAACAGTCACTTGGATCTCAATATTGTTTACATTTTTAAAATAAAAATAAATTAAACATTAAAACACATTTGAGGAAGTAGCTCACATTTTCCCATTTCACATTTACTGTGTTTTGCCCACAGTAAGAACAAAGCATTCAACTTAATATAAGCATACAAAAAAAGGGGGGAGGGGGGCCTCTCATGCATCAGCAAGTCTAGTTCTTTGCTAACACAGGCTACGTAATCATGGATTACACTTTCTTCACCTGCTCGAGTACCCTCCTACAATACGAGTTAGGAATTTCACACCCACTGCCCATAACGGAGAGCTGGTCACAAGCTAACTATTCCAATACTTAAAAAACAAGAAAACAAAACCAAAAACCTTAAGCTTCCAGCTAAAGTTTAGTTATAGCCAATACACGCCTGTTTGTCATGCCAACATTATTCTTCAGCCTAGCTGGATTATAAAAAAGTTGTTGTTCTTCAACTAGAACCGCACAGATTCCACTTGGAGGGACCACTAGTGACCAGTACAAAGACGACATCAGTGCTTGTGTGCTCTCCACTGAAAGTTTCTTACCTGATGTAGCCTGGAATCATGCTAACCTTTTCCTGGGGCTTCATCACACGTACAGGTTGTCACTATCCTCTGGCAGGCACCAAGGTTCTCCGTCGCTATCTTTCTCAAACCGTTACCTTCTAACGGACAGCAGAAGTCCTGAGCAGACAACCTTGGACTATTGAATTTCCATTAAGCGCAAGATCTCGGTGATGTGATACTGCTGTAAGTATTCTCTGCTTGTCAGTTCTGTGTCAGCAATAACTTTCGAAAATTTTGTGCCAAGCTCATTACAGAAAACATCAACATTGGCTTCCTGACAAACGCTGAAGGAACTCTGCTAGTAAATGCCAGGCAGCCTGAAAGCTCCCCTTCCGATACAACACACGGGCATCTATTCTCACGCCTGTTCATTCATGCCACTGCACAACGCTTTTGGCACTTGTGTCTTCTGCCACAGTACTGAGAGCACGGGTGAAGTTCACACAGCTCAGATCCACCCTGGTTTTGCCCACAAGAGGGCATCCAACGCACCCAAAAAGGACGGGATGACTCCACGAAGCTTCCTCTGCACTTGCTCAGTGAAGCACTCTCCATGACAATACTACTTGCACCAGCAAAACTGTACTGTATTCTACCACACACATAAGGAACAAAAACAATAACAAGTGCGGATCATCATCATTATTATCTAATTGCATTTCTGATGGCCACAGCAATCAGACCTCTCGTTTACACAGCTGAGTTGGCAAAAGGGTACGGTACGGGGGTAACAAAGTCACTGAAAGTATGTGACCTAACCATTACCAAAACGTAGCTGTCATGTTAATTCCGTTGGCCACTAGTATAAAGCTGCATTACAATTATTTTGGTCTGAGCTACGGTAGTAGACTTCTCTAACAGAGATCAAATAAGGGAAAAACATACAAGAGAAAGTAGGCAGACTACATCTCGCACGACTGCTACAAAATGCCGTTGGTCCAGTTCCATACTGCTCCTCAACTGGGACTCAGTAAGCTTGTTCTTGCTAAAGCTTTCGTACACTAAGAAAAACACCAAAACAAACACCGGCCTCTTCCCTTGAGAAACTAGATACCCGAACGCTTGTTCTGTGCAAAAAGCTTACAACCCCAACACATGGAGCAGTCTCTGCAAAGTCTACGTTTACTCTACACCTTTACTAGCAACACAGCTGCCCTATTTTAACATATTCTTTAAGGTTTCTTTTATATTATATATTAATATAACTTCTGCAGGTTACATTTCTTCTCAGAAAACTTTGTGATCCGTCAATGAATGGAGCTGAGTTTGCTAAGTCTCTTGTACTGAAAGCAGGCAATACCAGATGTGAAAGCCAGAGCCCCCACTTCTCCAAAGAGAGATGCCACAGAAGTCATGACCCTCACTGGCACAGTAAAGGACCCACACACAGCTGGTCTATGGAAGGCTACCGAATGGCAACTTTAACAAGGAGCTGGAGAAGGATACATGGCAACCTGGAATGTATTTTAATAGTCGGAAGAGATCAAAGAGTTTTGGGAACCAGCTCTAACACGGCTTATCTTCATTGACAGCCCAGTACATCAAGCCAGACCAACACGCTTTATGTTCAGATCTCACCCAAAGGGACAGTGCAATTTAGCAACAGACATTTGATTCAACAATACCCAAGGGCAAAGATGAGGGCTTAACAAGACTTTACCCCATCCATCAGGCCTGTGATCTACAATTATCCTAATTAGCTTTCTAACTACTACAGTCAAGCATTAGGTAGAGATATTATTTGCTCCTTGGGAACCATCATTAAAACCTTCTCTGAGAGCACATTAGAATTCGGCTATTCAAGAATTCATGATATTAACTCTAAAACCCAGCTCCTCCATAGCAATAGCGTGGAGGGCCAGTAGCAAAGACCAAAAGAGGCTGTGCAGTTCAGACCAGAGAAAAAGAGAGAGGGGAAAAAAAAAGGCAACGTTTATTTGCTGGTATACAGGAAAGACTAGACGCCCTTAACTGTCATCACTTGAGGACGGGATTATGCTGTGCTACGTATACAGAGGAAATAGAGAAGCAATAATAAAAAGGTAAAATTATTTCTTTGTCTTTACTCTAAGAAACATGATTCTAGTTTGTTTTCTAGATTTGAGAGCCTCAGTTCATTCAAAGAAATCCTAAATATTCAGTACATGGAAAAAAAAAAAAAAAAAGGCAGGAGAGAATAAGTAAACATACCCTCCCTTACTCACATGCTTAAAAGATCCATGGGGGGCGGCAGTGGCTCCTGTGTCTTCTAGATACTCATCCCAATTGAATTCCATTTCTTCCACACCAGAACCAGCATCTGGAAGAGAAGAAAAAAACCTTCTACTTAGCAATCTGTTGGCTTAAGTTTTAGGCTTTTAAGAACTACTGCAAAGACGCTTCATTTCTAAATGACTGCCTCCACAAGCGTCCAGTAAACTTCAGTAATGCACTTCAAAACACAGACAGCACTATTTAACTTTTATTTGCATTCCCAGCAACCCAAAACCTGAGAAAGTAAAGAGCACTTAATACTGGATTTGGTCTGAGAGACAATAAAAGTCCTGGAATTTTGGTTAAGCACAAGTTGTTTCTGCCTCTGATACAGGAGAGAACAGGCACAAATTCTCTATTTGTACCAACAGATATCTAGGAAGAGATGCAGAACTCTGAGCAAACCAGTCCTTTAGCGCGTTATATTAGAAACCTTTCAGGAAGCAGCAATACCAATAGTAAGTGGTTTGAAAAATAAGACTAAAAAACCCACTCTGAAATAAGTCCCAGGCCACAGTCCAATGCTCACTTCAGCTCTTAGGGAAGCAGTTGAGTAGAAAAATTGTAGGTTCAAAAAACAAAACACAAACAACCCCACCCCACCACACACTACTACATGCCCTTATGAGACCTTTGGGCATGCAAGCCTGGTAAGCACCCTTTACAACAGTTCGTACTCCTTGAACAGAGAGAGGCAAGTGTTTGCCAAAACCCTGAACCTCTTTAAACCAGCTAAAAAAAAGCCCACACAAGTCCTCAGTGTAAAGTAGGTTCATTTTTTCCCTCAAGCTGAATGTTAAGCTCATCTCTGACTTTTCATTGTAATTCTAAGAATTATAATTTCCCCAAATTTAGCAATGCATGTTTAGCTAGCTTTTGTTTGCTGACGACCGTATCTGTTTTAAAGGCAGCTCATCCCTCTCCCAATCCTAGTTCTATTTTGCTATTTTTAAACAACCGTAGTTGGTTATATTGGCCTTTCGTAAGCGCAGAGCTCAAAAAACTCAGAGCTTGCATACGGGCACCAATTTTTAGGGGACAATTTTTAACCTACTGAAGAAACAGACCTAGAGGACAAAAATAAGTGATTTTAGTTTTAACATTTTGAGGGAGTAAAGGGGATAAGGCACAGACCACAGCTATGTGCAAATTAAGGTGGAGCTGATCAACACTGGCTGCAAGGCATTCTACCAAAAATATAACTTAAATGCAAAACATAATTAAAACAAATTAAGATTTCTTACCTCGTTAACACAACGTTTGATTTTAAAATAACCACAACAAAAAGCTTAAGTTTACAGCTAGAGAACCAAAGCAGGAAT